CTCAGAAGGCCCCACAGTGGGCTCGACAGTCAGGGCCTGGTAGTGGCCGCGGCAGCGTCTGACCACCTGACCATGAGTCTGCTGAGGCCCAGCGGGCTGAAGGCCCCCACCAAAATCCTCAAGCATGGGAGCTGGGCCCTGAAGGTGCCCTTGGCCGGTAAGTGCGCTCAGCCCGGGCCAGGGGAGACTCATTCCCACCCGGGAACCCCCTCCCGAGTCCTCGCCCGGGAAGGGTTACCTGAGCTGTAGGCACGTTCGTGGCTCTGGGGACAGCTCTCACACAAGAGTGTCATGTTCTGTGACTTTAGTTTCACGGCAACTGGTGACAGCTGAGGCGACCAGCAGGCTCCCTCCTAACTGCTAGCTCCCTCGCCCGGGTTGGGGACAAGCTGAGAGAGGCGGACTCACCTGGACTAAAGGGTCTCATTGCTGGCCGTAGCCACAGGACAGTGGGGAGGGCAACCGGCACCCCATGTGACTCTCCAGCCTCAACCTCACCATGAGTGACCCTGAGCGCAGAGCCAGAAATAGGCCCCGAGGACTGGCTGGGGTGCTCCCCCCCTAAAAGAAAAAGAAGATGGGCCATGGACACAGCAGAAATAAGAAACTGGGTTGGAGCTTTCGCCTGGCTTGGTCCGTAGCATCACAGGGTGTGTCCAAAGATTTCCCCTCAGCTGCCCAGATATGACTGCGGCCTGGGATGCTGCGGTAGGTAGGCACGTCCCCTTCACGGCGGGCCTAGACCGGCTTTGCCACAAGAAGCCCCCGTCATTGGCTGGGAGTAGCCCCAAGCACTGCTGGGTGTCCCTCCCCCCCCAACCACACTTTAACTGGACCTGGACAGGCCCTTCCTCACCCTTCTGACCCTTTCTGCTGTTCCAGCGGCTGCTCCCGTTGAGAAGACCGTGCCTGGGGAGAAAACCCCCAGCTCCCCCTCCTTGGAGACGCAGGAGGAGTTTGTGGACGACTTCCAGGTGGGGGAACGAATCTGGTTGAAGGGGAACACGCCTGGATTCATCCAGTTCCTCGGGGAGACGCAGTTTGCCCCTGGTCAGTGGGCCGGGATCGTCTTGGACGAGCCCATCGGCAAGAACGACGGCTCGGTGGCGGGTGTGCGCTACTTCCAGTGCGAGCCGCTGAAGGGCATCTTCACCCGGCCGTCCAAGCTGAGCAGGAGCTGGCAGGCCGATGATGAGACCAACGGCCTGCAGCCAGCGCCTGCCGCCGGGGCCACACCACCCCTGTCGGCCTCCCCGGCCCCTGCGGCCGCCCCAAAGGCACCCCAGCCCTCCGCGAAGGAGGCACCGGCCACCCCTCACATCAGCAACCTGACCAGGATGGCCAGCGAGTCCATCTCCAACCTCTCGGAGGCTGGCTCCCTCAAGAACGGGGAGCAGAAGCTGAAGCTCGGGGACCAGGTGCTGGTGAGTGCCGAGGGCAGCGGTCGCGGGTGGGTGTCCATTCGCCTGTCTGGTCCATCAGTTTTTGCAAACTCGCGTTTTGGGTGGAAGCACGAGCAGCCGGGACGCCTGGTCCTGCAGTTTCCAGCGTGATGGATGCGTGCGGGGATGCTGCCAGTTTTACCAGTTTAGCCAAAACAGGGTGGAGGGGTCATGCAGTGGGGAGGTCGCGTGCTTTGCACGCCTCTGACCCGGGGTTTAAGTCTTGGTTCCATGTACAGTCTCCCAAGCACATCCCGGAGTGATCCCTGAGCACCAAGCCAGAAGTAAGCCCTGAGCACTCTGACTGTGACTCAAAAAACAAACCAACGAACAAAGTTGGAAATCGGTTCCATTGCTCTGGTTTTTGATGTTTGTGTTTGGGGCGTCACAGGGCTCACCCCGAGCCGCTCTGGGCCATTCCGTGCGCAAGCCCTGAGCCATCTCTCCAGACGTGTGTGGTTTGGTGTTTGGGCCACACCTGGCCGTGCTCAGGGCTTCCTCCTGGTGCTGAACTCAGGGATCACTCCTGGTAGGGCTCAGGGGACCATCTGGGGTGTCGGGGATGGACCCTAGGTAGGCCACGGGTAGGGACCCGTCTCCGCAACATTCTCCAGAGTATGTTTTGCTGTCTTGGTTGCTCGATCTTCAGCCTCAGAACCTGCTCTTGGGTTTCTCTGAGCAGCTCCTGGAAGGCCTTCGGTGAGGGCGAGGGGGCACCCCCGTGAAATGAGTTTCTGGTGGGGCTCACCAGGTCCTTGCACGTGGCATCCTCAGTCCACCCCAAGCCCATTCCTCTGCACAGGTCCGCAAAGAAGAGGCGCTTGGCTGTAGACAACTGTTCTCCCCCAGCAGAAGCACTCAATAATGCTTTCAGAACCCATGGGAAGCAGCCGGAAAAAGTCCCCTTGGGGATGTCTGAGGCGGGCTGCTCTGACCAGACAGACTGGGGGCTGTCCCGGAGCCAGTGGCTTCCCGGGGACCACAGGGATGGCCACCGCCAGGCCGGTGTCCGAGTGGTGGAGGCGGGAGAAGAGAGCAGTGAGGGGACTGGCCTGCAGGCGCAGGGTGGCCCTCGGAGGGTCCTGGAGGGTCACGGTTGGGGTTCTGGGGTGGCCAAAGAGTAACACAGGGAGGGAATTGGAGCTGGAGGAGACACACGGTCTAAAGACTGTTTGGGGGGCTGGAGCAGTAGTACAGCAGAGAGGGCGTTTGCCTTGCACTCAGCAAACCTGGGTTCCCCCATAGGGTCCCATAGGGTCCCCAAGCATCGCAGGAATGACTCCTGAATGCAGAGCCAGGAGTCACCCCTGAGCATCGCCAGGTGTGAGCCAAAGACCCAAAGAAGAAAAAGGACTTTTTTTTTTTTAACTTGCATTCACAACCGTCCACACCTGAACACAGGGACACCAGTGTCGTTGGAACAAGGGAGCGGGGACACCGCCACTGGCTTTGTGGTGAATAACTCTGAACAGTTATTTATTTATAGGTGGTGGTGCTCAGGGCTGACTCCTGGCCCTGTGCTCAGGGACCACATCCGGGCAGGTGGGTGCAAGGCCAACGCCCTGCCCGCTGTGCTGTTCCATCGCTCCATACCTCAGCTAGAGCACGCCTTTCAAAAAAAAGTTTCTGAGGGTTTTTTTGGGGGACCACAACCAGCATAAGGACTGTTTTCTGAAAGAAGGGGGGAAAAAGAAACCCAAACACTTTATTTGGTCTTTTTCCTAATGCAAGAAGCTTTGCTTGGCTGTCCATGGCCTAACACAGTCGTGGTCAGCAGGCTGTGGCGAGTGTGGGCTGGCCTCGGGGCACCGAGGCGAAGCTCCTGTGCAGGGCTGGCGCCCGCCCGCCTCTCCAAACGGCCTCCTGCCCTTTGCCCCATTCTTCCCTGCGCACAGGAAGTCCAGGTTCTGCCCCAGCTGGCCCCGATGTTTATGTGACTGACCTCGGAGGAGCCCTTCGGAGGAGCCCTTCGGAGGCTCTGAGACGGCTGTTCCAGCCTTAGGCCTGTGGAAGGCGGTCCCCTGCCCCCGGCACTCCCCATCCCTGGCAGTGGACAGGTTGCCCCCATGCTTGTGCTACTTTGGTTCTCTCTGGAGACTCAGGGACCCTCAGTGGGCTCACTGGAAATGCCCAGCTCTGACCTCAAGTCCCGTCTGTGCTCGCAAGTAGGCAGGGGTCTCAGAGTGGGACAGTCCGTCGCTCTGGTCAGTCCTATGGTGTCTCAGAGCGGGAGGTCACTCTGTCCGTCCTGTGGCGTCTCAGAGTCCAGCCGTGAAGAGCTTCTCCGGGCTGATGTGCGGTGGTTCTCCTGACCTTGGGAGATCACTTCCCTTCTCTCCAGCTGAGCTCTGACAGAATGTTCTGGAGACAGGCTTGCAGCAGTTTTGGGCAGATGATATTTCCAGGATATGATGTCAGGGTCTTGAGAGAATTGACTGGCTTCCAGTTGTGCTGTTAGAGGAGGCTGTTTCCAGGTCGGGGACGGCATGTTTTGTGCCAAATTCTTCGCCGATGACCAGCTGTGAGACAGGAACTTTGCAGCCTCTTCTCACCCCAGGGCCGCCATACCAGCCACCTGTCTCTTGTTCTTTTATTCTTTGTCACACTCACAGTGCCCAGGGCCCACGCCTGGCCACGGAGGCTGTGCCAGGGCCTTTGCACATGGCACTTCAGGACTCGCAGAGACAGTCCTGGGTGACGCTGCTACCCCTCGTGCTGCGAGTGACCCCCAAGCACGTGAACCCAGTCCTACCCCAGACCCGAAAAAAATAAAAACCACGCTCTCAGGAATTATTACGTGAGGTTTCTCTCTCTCTCTCTCTCTCTCTCTCTCTCTCTCTCTCTCTCTCTCTCTCTCTCTCTCTCTCTCTCTCTCCTGTTTCAATTTTTGGTTTTGGGGTCACTTCTAGCAGTGCTTATGGGTCACTCAGGCTTTGCACTCAGGAATCAGTCTTCGCGGGCTAGGGGGACCATCTTGGGTGCTGAGGATTGAACCCAGGGTGGCCGCACACAAAGCCAGTGCCCTTCCCCCAGTGCTCCAGCCCTGTTTATCAGCATTCCCGTCACTGTCCAGCGCTGTGATTCTGTTTTGCTCTGCGTCCCGGGGGCCAAGCATGAAGCCAAGGCATAGTGAAGGAGAACTGGAAAATCGAACTCCGCTAAGATATGAGAACAGTCATTTTCCTTTAGCTGGCTTCTGGCTTAATTGTTCTCCAGGGGTGGGGTTGCCACGGCTCCGCTCCCACACCCATGGGGCAGCGACCCCCTCGCCATACCAGTTGGCTGGCCTGGGTCAGAGATTCCCGGGGGTGTGGTCAGCCAGGCCACCGGTGTCAGCCAGTGGGTGTGAACGCCGCTGCCTTGCATGGACACTGAGCAGCAGCGTCTGCTCACGCTGTAGTGGTTGCGGGGGGGGGGGGGGGGGGGGGGGGGGGGGGGGGAAGTGGCACCTTGACCTTTGGGGTTTCTTCCGGAAATCCCTACTCTGAAGCCAGAATGTTCCTTCGCGGGGGTGGGGGCGCTGTGCGCAGTCCAGGGTGCCTGACCCGTGTCCCTCCTGCAGGTGGGAGGCATGGAGGCCGGTGTGGTGCGCTTCCTCGGGGAGACGGACTTCGCCAAGGGGGATTGGTGCGGCGTGGAGCTGGACAAGCCGCTGGGCAAGAACGATGGCGCCGCGGCAGGAACGAGGTGGGTCCTCCTGCCCCCCCCCCCCCCAGACAGCCTGGGGCAATGCACGGTGCCCGGGAGGCGCTGAGGGGACTGCAGGCCACTTCACTTGGTTCTTAGGCGGGGCCACTTCCGGTGGCACTCGGGGACCCTGCAGGGATGTGGGGAGAGCCTGGGGCTCCCACATGCAGCTGTGCTCGGCCCGCAGGAACCCCCCGGGCCTGCTGTCGCCCTTCAGATGCCGGGAGGCTGCTTGGAATAGCCCTTGGTTTGTGCGGTGGGGATGGGCGGCGTGGAGGGAGTGTGAGTGTGAATGTGTGTGCTTCAGAGTGTGGATATGTATGTATGAGGGTGTGTGTATGTGAGCGTGTGAGTGTAGGGCTGTGAGAATGTTGGTGAGGGCATGAGCATGTGAGTGTTGTGGGGGTGTGAGCATGTTTGTGAAGGAATGAGACCGTGTCATTGTTGGTTTGAGAGCGTGCAAGTGTTGGTTGGGGTGTGCGTGTGTGTGACTGTGGGGCTGTGGGAATGTGGGAGTGTTGCTTGGGGTGTGAGTGTGTTTGTTGGGGTGAGTGGGAGTGTGAGAGTGTGGGAGTGTTGGTTGGGATGTGAGTGTGAGTATGACTGTGTTGGGGTATGAGTGTGTGGGAGTGTGGGGCTGTGGGAGCGTGTTAGTTTGTGGGGGTGTGAGACAGTGGGACTCAGTGGCCTCCTCGGTCGGCGCCTGTCTCTCTTGCCAAAGGTGTCTTTTGTCCTCCCTCCTCGTTGTCCGCAGGTACTTCCAGTGTCAGCCCAAGTATGGCTTGTTTGCTCCCATTCACAAAGTCACCAAGATCGGCTTCCCCTCCACGACGCCGGCCAAGGCCAAGGCGGCCCGCGGGAGGCGTGTGATGGCCACCACCCCCGCCAGCCTGAAGCGCCGCCCATCGGCCTCCTCGCTTAGCTCCGTGAGCTCCGTGGCCTCATCCGTGAGCAGCAGGCTCAGCCGCGTGGGACTAGTAAGAAGCTCCCCCCACCCCGCGCGGTGCTCGGGCCCCCACAGACTCCCACGGCCCCAGGGGCGAGAGGCGGAGCAGGACTGGGTGGGCTGAGCAGCTTGGGGGCAGGCGAGTGGCTTCCCAGCCAGCACTGGTGAGAGGAGCAGGGACGGACTTTCCTCGGGTGCTCAGGGCTCGTCTCCGGCCTCAGGCCGCCTTAGGGATGAAGTGGGGTAGCTGAAGGGGGCGTCGGAGGGTCAGAGCAGGACCCAGAGACTCTGGGGAACACTTGGCGCTTGGCGTTGCTTGTTTGCTCTCTCCGTCTCTCCCTGCTCCCTCCTGTCCCTCTGCACCCCTGTCGCCATGCAGAGGGGCGTCGACTTCTGTCCATTGCGGGGCCGCAAGTCAAAGCTGGGGCCTCGTGGCTTCTCCCCTCACGTCTCTCTGAGTCATAAACACTAAAGTGTGTCCGAATGTGCAAGGGTGTCCTGAGATATTGTCCACAGGGAAACGGGCCCACGATGGAGATGTATCCCTGGATTTTGGGCCACACCCCAGCAATGCTCAGGACTTACTCCGGGCTCTGCACTCGGGAGTCACTCCTGGTGGGCTCGGGACCCTATGGGGTGGGTACCTGGGATCCAGCTCGGGTCAGCGGCGTGCAAGGCCAGCGCCTTCCCCGCAACTTTATCATTCTAGCCTCTCATCCCCCACTTTCGAAGGCACATGGCACAGGAGTCTTTTATGGGGTCAAACCCAGTGACCCTGAGGGGCATGGGGCCATTCCCAGAGACAAGAGTCTCTGGTTAGTGCTATTAAGGCTTGGGGCGGGTGCTGAGGAGAGCGAGGTGAGCTGGAAGGAAGAGGAAGAGAGAAGGGCCAGGCTGCCCTGGGGAGACCCTGACGGACCTGCAAGGCTGAAGATGCTGGAGCCGGCCTCAAGCTCAGGCCAAGGGCTCAGCCTTAAGGAAGCTCAGGCCAGAGCGGGCCGTGGAGGGGGCTGCCTCCGGCTCTGCAGAAGAGTCTCTGGATTCCCACGAAACCCATCAGTCGAGCCCAGATCCCGTCCAAGGATCTTCGGGAAGGTTTCAAGACGCTTCTGCTGAGAGTCGCTGGCCCATATGCACGGATGCAGCGCTGCTCCATCTGCGTTGCCGAGGATAGCCGCGTGCATGCCTGTGTCACCACCCCCACCCCCTTCACGTCTCTTTTTCCTTTGCAGTTGCCAGAAACCTCCTCTCGCTATGCCTGCAAGATCTCCAGCACCACCACCCTCCAGGAGGCGCTGAAGGAGAAGCAGCAGCACATTGAGCAGCTGCTGGCCGAACGGGACCTGGAGAGGGTGGAGGTGGCCAAGGCCACGAGCCATGTGGGGGTGATAGAGCAGGAGCTGGCCCTGGCCGGGACGGGCACGACCAGGTGACGTCTGTGCAGACGGCAGTGCCGGGGCCAAGTGACGCTTGTGGCAAATGCTGGGCGCGACCTTGGTGCAGGCGGTGCAGGGAGAGGCCGTGTCTCCCCGTCTGCCGTCGTTGCGGTGGCATCCGGCGCGTGGTTTGATCGCATGCACCTTCTGCTCACCCCGTGGGGGTTCAGGGAGTGCCGAGTTATCCCCGCTGGTGCTTTTGTGGTTTGGTTCCCCCGCCGGCCTTCCAGAAATGCTGCAGCTTAGGTGGGAGACGCGTTCAGTGTGCCGTGGTGGCAGGTGGCGGTGCCAGCCCACAGAGGGCGGTCGGGGGCGGGCAAGGACACTCACATGCAGTTGCCTCCACAGCACGTCCTGGAGCTAGGGGCCAAGATGGACAAGCTGCGGGCCATGCTGGAAGCGACCGACTGGGAGAAGGTGGAGCTGCTGAACCAGTTGGAGGAGGAGAAGAGGTGAGGTCATGCCCCAAGCTGCGGAACTGCCTCGGGCGGGGCGCGCCTGGCCTTCCAGGTCTGTGAGGACCAGAAACCACCGGGTGCCCAGTCCTGAGCGTGGCCTCATGGGGGGCAATGGGGGAGCCCAGGCACCCCCGGCCCTCCCTGCAGTGTCCACGTGGCCTGGTGTTCAGGAGGCCTGTGCTGGGTGACTGGGAACTGTCCTATCCCAGTGGGGCCCTGTGGGAGTCCCTGGGGTTAAGTCCCGGGTGGGAAGAAAACTGCAGCACCCATGGGGCACGGCAGCAGACAGGCAGGGCTCAGGCCTGGCTGCAGAGAGACGGACTCGGGGTGCTGGCCGAGACCGCCTTCTCAGATGGTCTTCCGGCAGTGTGGTTCCCAGGGGCACTACCAGTGCCCGGCTCAGCTCCTCAGCTCCACATGCCGAACTCGCCACGTCCCCTGGGAGCCCCTCCTGCCCCCCCTAGCCCCGAGTCGTTTGCTGCTTCTCCCCGAGGGGCTCAGTTGTTGTCCCAATGCGAGGACAGGAGCTGGCTGACAGGGACTGGTATGCGCCCCGGGTCAGTTTTTAACCACCTCTGTTAGCTGCGAGGCAGAAAGGGTTGATATGACACTGCCCCTGGCCTTGGCTCAACAGAGCTTCCTCCTGTAGCCTGCGGGTCCCACCCAGTGCTCACAGCCGAGGGGACTCACTGACTTTCCTTTTTTTCTTTTTGGGTCAACCCAGTGATGCTCAGGGGTTACTCCTGCCTCGGCACTCAGGAATTACTCCTGGCATTGCACAGGGGACCATAATGGGATGCTGGGAATTGAACCCGGGTCGGCCACATGCAAGACAAATGCCCTGCCTGCTGTACTCTCGCTCTGGCCCTCGCTGACTCTCTGAGCCCTCCTGTGTGTGGAGCCGGGGGCTGGGTCAGGCGCGCATCTACAGGATGGTGGCCCTCATGGGGGGCAGCAGTGACGCCCCTCACAACTCTCCCTCTCCCCCACAGGAATGTGGAGGACCTCAAGTTCCGAGTCAAAGAGGAGTCCATCACCAAAGGCGACCTGGAGGTAAAGCCCGGGCAGGTCGCAGAGGCTTGCAGGGTGCAGGCCAGGATGCGGGCTGGCCTGGCCGACCCCGCCGGGAACACTTCTGCTGGAGACTCCGAATCAGACAGGGATACCTGGGGTCATGCACCTGGCAGGGCCCGGCTGAGGCACCTCTGCTCCTTGGGGCCGGAGGCTGCTGTTGATGAGCGTTTTTCTCTCGTTCTGACAGTTGGGTCTACGCATTTGCCTCAGCTTTGATTTTCAGTCAAGCAGCACAAATCAAATCCTTTAGAACCCCAGTTTTTTGAAGGTATTCCTTAAAACAAGAAGAAGCAAACAGTCAGTTTCACAAGAATAATTTCTATTTCTGCTTGTTTTCCTTCCTATTTTAAGTTCATGGAAATTTTGTTTTCCCACCAGAAGGAGGTGAAGGCCCTGCAGTCAGCCTCCGAGAAGCTCGCCAGGAGAACGAGAGGCTGAGGACCAAGCAGGACCATGCCAACGAGGAGAACGCGGACGTGATCGCCCTGTGGAAGTCCAAGCTGGAGACGGCCATCGCCCCGCACCAACAGGCCATGGGCGAGCCGAAGGCGTCCGTGAGCCGGGACGTGGGCGCTGAGACGGCCGAGCTGGCCGAGCTCAAGATACAGATGGAGAGGCTGCAGTTCGAGTCCCAGCAGGAGTTGGAGAGCCTGAAGGCCCAGCTGGCAGCCGAGCGTGCGGCACACGCCTCTGAGCTGCAGACGCTCAGGTCGCGGCTGGTCAGGCCGGCCCAGGAGCAGAAGAACAGCCTGGAGGCCGCGCGGGCCAAGCTCGATCAGACCGAGGACCAGCACCTGGTGGAGATGGAGGACGCCTGAACAAGCTGCAGGAGGCGGAGACGAAGGTAAAGCACCTGGAGGGGTTGCGGGCCATGTGTAGTCAGCAAGCCCAGGCCTGGCCGACGCCACGGCGCAGCTGGAGGCCACCCAGCAGAAGCTCTTGCAGCTTGATGGGCTCCGGAAGGCCAGATCCGAGGTAAATTGGGAATGGAGAAGCTCAGGCAGCAGCTCCAGGTGGCTGAGCGGCAGATTCAGCAGTTAGAGAATGCAAAGGGGGCCGAGAGCGGCAGGTTGGTACCCGGGCGCCCTCGCCCACTTCCACGCTCGCTCCCTGCATGCTGTGTGTCAGTCAGCTCGCCGCCGTGTTCCAGCTTGGTGCTGACAGGTCTTCCGGTCACGTCCCGTGCGGTTCCCTCTGATGGGACTGAGAACGTGTAGGCACGATTCTGGGGCTGTCATTGGTCCCCAGCACCCGGATGCTTTGCTAGCCTTGGCCCCGGCTAATCGGGCCCGTCTGGGGTCTTTCTGAAACCGAGAACTCTTCACAAGGCCAGTGAGAAAACAAGATGGGAGCCCCCAAAGCAAACCTCTGCCCCTCCCCCCTTGGGCCCCCTGCGTACTCGCCGAGTCTGCCCAGACCCTTGGGCTCGAGGCTGGCCGCGAGGGGCTTTCGCTGACCTTGCTGACCACCTGCTCGTATGACTGGCTTTGCTGTCCTCTCCCCGAGGCGCCTCAGTTTCCAGCTGGTGCTCTGAGCTCCCTCAGGGCTGGTGACATGGTCCATCTTGGTATTTCTCATTGCCGGCCCCTCCCTGCCTGCAGCACAAGCCCCTGCCCAACCCTGCAGAGATTTCATCCCTTTTAGCCTCTAAGGGGTGCTTGAGCCAAGTCCGCCTTCCAGCATGGCCTCCTGCTGGCCACGGGCATGGACTCTCATGGTTGCCCTGACCCTGGGGAAGGACAAGACAGTGAGATCTGGGCCAAGCCGAGGAAGCTGCAGTTCTTACCAAGGAGTCCCGAGAAATGCCCTTTTCCTCCTATAGGATTGTGGTGGCAGAGACGCGCCCTCCCAGCCGCCCCCCCCCCCAACCCCCTGGCGCTGTGCGCTTTGTTGGAGAAACTTCTCTGTTGGCCAAGTTGGAAGGGCTGTGGGATTTGTAGACAGGACTGACAGACATAACAGAAGGACCCAGAGACCCCCGGGAGTTCCTCTCAGGACTCAGGATTCCTTAGCTGG